TGTAAATGACGATTCCTGCCAGACAAAAGGAGCCACCACAGAAAACTCTTCCTACCCAGCATTACCTACACTGGCCCAACAACTGCACCTCAAAGCCAAAGCTTCCAGACTTTTTTTCCTGGTGGAACGACCTGCTCTTCCCTTTTTTAAGCACTGCGCTGCAATGACCGATCCCATGTCCTGAAAAATAGAATCCAGCTGAAGATTCGTGCCAGACAAAAGGTGCCACCTCAGAAAGGTCTTCCTGCTCAAGAAGTGCCCAGACTGCCCCAACAATTGCACCTTGTAGCCAAAGCTTCCAGACTTTTTTTCCTGGTGGAAAGAGCTGCTGTTCCCTTTCTTCAGCCCTGCGCTGCAATGACCGGTCCCACCTCCTGGAAAATTTACTCTAAATAAAGATTCCTGCCAGACAAAAGGTGCCACCACAGAAAGGTCTTGCTGCCGAAGAAGTGCCCAGGCTGTCCCAACCACTACACCTGAAGCCAAATTAGCCAGACATTTTTCCTGGTGGAAAGAGCTGCTGTTCCCTTTTTTCTGCCCTGCTCTGCAATGGCCATTCCCACCTCCTGGAAAATTTTCTCTAACGGAAGATTCCTGCCGGAGAAAAGGTGCCACCAAAGAAAAATCTCCCTGCTCAAGAAGTGCCCAGCCTGCCCAAAACTGCACCTCAAAGCCAAAGCTTCCAGACTTTTTTTCCTGGTGGAAAGAGCTGCTGTTCCCTTTTTCCTTCCCTGCACTGCAATGACCGGTCCCACTTCCTGGAAAATTGAATGTAAATGACGATTCCTGCAAGACAAAAGGTGCCACCACAGAAAACTCTTCCTACCCAGCATTACCCACGCTTCCCCAAAAACTACACCTGAAACCAAAGCTTCCAGACTTTTTTTCCTGGTGGAAAGAGCTGCTTTTCCCTTTTTTCTGCCCTGCGCTGCAATGGCCAGTCCCACCTCCTGGAAAATTGAATCCAAATGACGATTACTGCAAGACAAAAGGTGCCACCACAGAAAACTCTTCCTACCCAGCATTTCCCATGCTGCCCCAAAAACTACACCTGAA